CTATAACAGCATGTAATTTGTTGAGTTAACTGTATATATTATTAGGGGCGAGGACGCCGGGGCAGCATCGAGTTCCGAAGATGAGGAAGAAGCGGAACGAAGACGAGCAAGAGCTAGGGAGCGGCGAAAGCAGTTGGAAGAACAGGAAGCTCCAGTGGAAGAGGATGAACCTGTTGAGCATGATGAGGTTAGGAATGCTTTCCGGCTCATCTTTTCGGAATTCACGAAACATTTTTATGGCTGTCGGGACTCGAGATTTGGAATAAATACTGTTCAAAATCAACGGGAGTAACGGGAAGGGAGAGGGGAGGGGGAGGAGTTGGGGTTGGAACAGTGGCACCGTTGAAAAAAACAGTTTGGTTCTCGGATTCTCAAGGGCAATGGATAATTTTACGAGCAGAAAGAATTTCCGAAAAAATCGATCATCTTTTCACACTTCTATCTTTTGTCTTGTTGCAGTAGATCATTTCTGCTTTCGCGGAGAAGGGGAGGGGGAGGGGGCATAGAATCAGGCGTAGGCCAATACCAATTTATCATCAAACGAATGGACCGATCTTGATCAGACTACACATCCATTTGGCCGTCTAACCTTTAGCAGGTAAGTAGTGGTACTTGTCGCTGCATCACTCCTTTTAGGACTTATTTTAAAATTTGATGGGTCTAGAAGTAGTAGTGAAGAGGGGTTCGGTTTCATCTCTATTTTTCCGGAAGAAAGTTCTTGCACCACCTTCTTCATCTACCGTTCCCTGAAGCTATTGCGTTCTGTCAATGATTTTATTAGAGTGACTGTGACAAAAACACATTTCGCACTGTTCTGTTACAGGAGGAATTGAAAAGGCGACGAGCCGAGCTGCGAGCTCGTGCATTAATCAAGGAAGAAGAGGAATTTACGAAGCCGGAGGAGGCAGAAGAGGATGAGGAAAATGAGGAAGAGTCGAGTGAGGAGGAGAGTGAAGAAAGCGAGGACGATACGGTGCCCAGAATGAAACCGGTCTTCGTTGAAAAGTATAACCACTATGCTTAGGCATTTAGTGTGTCTGCACCTGGTGCTTT